AACTGAAAATACATAATACTTCCCGCAAGTACCATGGACACGCCTATATGCAGTTTCCCAAAATTGTGTAAATTTCTATAATTATGTAGTACCACCCATCAAACATGGTAGACCGACCAAAATATTACTTTTTTTAAAACTGACTTAAATTCTATAGGACACATGTCCTTAAAATTAAAGAAATAACAATTTATACTATTAAGGTATTAGGACCCTAATGGGCACTATCAGGAACTAAAGAATTGACATCATAGGTCAGATGTATACCTTAAAGTACACCTGTATGCAAAATTTAAACAAAGTTTACCGTACGGAAATCAAGTTATGGCCACTTTTTTGAACTCACACTAGGATGTTATGATAATGAGGGCACTTTTTTAGAAATGAGGAACCTTTAAATAATCTGCAATAACATTCTAATGAAAAATGTTTTCCCATGAATTTTTGGTAAAAAACAAATAGTACCATTCAGCTAACAATCCACATAAGCAAAATTATGGTTTCTACTAAAAATTTATAAAAATCTGTATAAAAATGTTACCCTACCCCACCCATTTTTACCACATGTCTGACCATTTTTCTACAGGGTTAGAATTTAGCAAGATTTTCTACTTGCAGATTTTTGCAAGTGATCAAATGTTTAACTGGCAATATGAGGTAGTCAACTGGCATTTCCATGATCACGTATCTTATTATTATTATTATTATTATTATAATATACAATGACAATGAATTTGAAAATCTGGTATGAAAAAAGATATTAAGCTTGAATGTCCATTGAATATCAAAATCATCTTTATAACTGATAAACACAGATAACGAAACAAAAACATTTCAACACATTAATTTATAAATGATAAGATCAGATTTGATATACCAGAGGAACACCCACTGGTGACAATGTACAGTTATAAACTTGTTCATGTTATGTTATTTCTTAGGACCTTCATTAATTTTAGCATATTTTGTACTTGATTACACCAACAACCCTAAAACTCAGAGGTACTGATCTACTTAAAATAAATAAATATTTCAGCTTAAAAGTAAACACTTTACAGAGGAGTGCTAAGCATTTACATTGGACTCTGATAAAACATCTTGGATCTGGCTATTATAAATAATCCATCAAAATATAGTCACAGAAAAAATAAATACCGATAGAGCAACTTAAAATTTATTTTTAAGTTTTTAAGGTAAACGTCATCAGTTACTGCAGCGGGCAGTTGCCAATCATATCAGCTCAGAAGATAACAATTATGTAAACGTCCAAACTGAACAGTCACTTGCAAATAAATGCCAGTTAGAGTAATTTTTACTGGCATTATTAGATTTCAACTGGCATTTTGCCAGTATGCCAGCTTAAATTCGAACCCTGTTCTACTTAAAAAAATTCTTAAAATTTACCCAAATGAGTGCCTGTTTTCAAAGTTTCCCTAAATTTTTTAAAATAGTATATTGGTTGATCTTGTAAAATATGAAATACTTTTAAACCGTCTAGTTTTGATTATAATTACACTTTGAAAAATAATCAGGTACCATATTTATTACTAGATTTAGCATAATTTAGCCAATAAATACCTATATAAATTCAAAATTAAAACACATTTTTTCTTTCCATATGGGACATGAGAGATACATAAATAATGTTAGAAGAAAAAAAGAAAGAAAAAAAAAGTTGACCCTTCTGGGGATTGAACCCATGGCCCTCATTTTCAATGTAGTTAACAGTAATCCTAGCCTATTTGAATACTCTTCAAAGCGGAGGTAATGCATTCGGGTGCTAATACCTTAAAATAAGTCAGTGAAAGCAAGTTTTATTCTTCAATATTACAAGTTTACGAAACTTAAATTACTATGGTATCCAATGGTACCACCCTATTCCATATTCACAAAAAAACAAAATACAACAAGAAGTTTAAGCCATAGTCAGGATGAATATAGGACAACATCAATAAATCAGGGAATTCCCTAGGATTTTTTTTAAGCGCTACATTTTTTTAATAAGACGGGGGTGGGTGCGGGAGGGGGTCTTGACCCCAATACCGCGTGTCGAAAATTTTTGCCATTTAAGGTGTCAAGATACTGCTGTGGGCTGTTTTAAAACAAATAATGAAAGCTTTTCACTTGATAAACATTTTCTTAATTTTTATTATTTTTACTTTTTCCATTTCCAACAATTCAAATAAATAAACAATTATATATAAACACAAGTTCCACAACATGTGATCAACATTTTATGTATGTGTGTGTCCCATTTAAATGAGTATATTTCAGTTGTTTTTTTCTTCATTAACATCATTAAAAGTGGGGCTGTCTTCTAGGTTTGTTGTCCTTCCATGCCTTGACTGCCTTCTCAAAGTTGAAAGATTCTAATGGGGGTCCTTAAAGGGAGACGGCAAGAAGATAGTTCAGAACTTTTACAGAGAGACAATTCCTGTTTTTCAGTCTTAACTCTCTTCAGGCAGCTGAATCCTCGCTCAAAAATCTGAAATGAATAAATGAAAGTAAATCAGTTATGTTAACCTCATGTCTTTTTATATTGTTTGTTTTTGATGTGAATATTTGAAAATTTAAAACTTCAAGCCTATTTAAACTTAACTAAGTAAAAAAAATTATATTTGAAATGTTGAAAAACTTCTAGCAAAGTGTTACACATCTGCAACTGTCATTGGAATTTCATTAATGTTCAAGAATGAATGAATTTAATAATGCTTACCTGCAGTAGAGGTTGGGAGGAGGAGACCCACAGCAGCAATTCTGTAAAGAGCTGGATGACTGGTAGAAAGGTTGCCAGTAATCCATGTCATGGTCTGGTCGGCTGACTGATCAGTCCCCTCTAGACTGGCACGTACCTGGTGCCAATGGCTGCGGCACTGCTCCATATCTACACCAAAGTGCCTGGCCAGCTCCTGTATGTTCTGACAAACCAATGCTAAGGGGTAGGACAGTAGATTGCACTTCACAAAGCTGTCCATGAACAGGCTCGATTAAAGAGGGCCTGCAAAGTTAATATTTTTTTCATTTTGGGGATTCACTGAACAGACACAGATTACAAGATATGTTTAATTAAAAAGAAAATGACCAATTGGCTGTCACTAAGTGGGATTGTTGATGTAAAGTTTTTTGTGTTGTTTTTCACTCATTTGCAAGTTGATAATGAACAGTCGTAAATGTTTTCAATGTTAACGTAGCCATCAACCAAATTTATTTCTGAATATCTATGCAGTTTAATCCAAGAGTAAAAAAAGAAAAAAAAAGCAAAATGATCCTGAGACAGTTTCAACGACATTGCTCACAAAAAAACCTCTTATAATTGATAGTGAACTAGGCTTCCCTTATTCATGTTAGACATATTATTTTTTGAAATCTTAATACTACAGTATACTACTGTTTAGACGTAACGACCATAAGAAAGTGAAAGATGAAATTGAACATTACACTTCTATCAAGACAATTAACCCATTCACCCCTAAATATCAAACTGTTATATCGCATGTCAATTAATGCCAATTATATTATCAAAGCAATAAAAGTTATTACACCTACCTGAAACATGTAAATATCACACATGCCGCGGTTAAATTGCACCCATCTCAATACATGGTAATTGACAACACCTAAAAGTGCACGAACAGTCGTCTGCAGACACCGATGACAGGTGTCTGTGACGTCACACAGTATAAAGGCAATCAGTGTATCGGGTTGTGTATACGCCTCGGGTAATTATCTACACAGGACATGTATATTGGCTTGTTTATTTGGCTAATTGGGGTTAACTTATAGACACAGAAGAAAGGGATATCGGTCATTTTTTAAAGCGCTATGATAATTTTAAGCGCATCGGGATTTCTTGTTCTGAAATTTTAGCGCATCGGCGCCGATGCGCTAAAAGCGCCTGGGGAATTCCCTGATAAATAATCCAATTCCTGAATAGAAATATTTTCAGCACATCACATTACAAAAGCAAACTCACCTTGCCCGTTCACTGGCTTCAGATCTATGTACGTTAGAAAGTTGGCCTAGACAAAACCGATCTAGACTTGAAGGGTCAGTGTACCCGTCCACAGTTACCGTACTACAACTGTACGGTACTTTAAATGTCTCACCGACCTGCTGATCTAACTCGAAGTACGATATTGTACACCAGAATTCTGGAGCTGAAATATTCATATCCAGATTTTGTTAATTGATAAATTAAACAATGAATCTACACAAATATAATATTTCATTTATCACATAACCAACATTAGAACTGTTTACAGTGAAAATAACCCTTTTCTGTTCTTGAAGCCCCTATAGTGAAACGCTAACATTTAGTGTTCCCTACCTATTAAGCAAATGATGTCACATCAGAATATATACATGGCTGTCCAATACTGATTTTTTACGGTGGTTGCAAAAGTGAGAACTACTTGTTGTTAGGTTTGTCGTAAACTTCTGTGTCAGTGATTGAATGTCCGCTTTGTATTTACTTATTTTCGATCAGAAAATACAATAAAACAATATTAGAAATATTCGACCATTCGGGAATTATTTTGCTCGAATATAAATGTGCCTGTCTTTGACCATCTATGCAGTCATCTCCCCTGAAATTTTCGGCTTTAGTGTACATATAAAGGGAAGTAACCGCTTCAAAAAAGTGGACTACTTTCGGCATTTGCAATTAACAGCATTAGACTCTGAAATTTCGCTACCATTATTTGTTTGGTCTGACGACCCAAACAAATAAAAATGGACTTTTCCAAATTGAATACTGAACAAGTCTACAAATTAAATGTAACAATGCTGTAGTTGCCCCTTACCAAGTCTGAACCAAAAACAACAAGCCTTCTCTTCTATAACAATGCCAGACTAGCATACAAAGCTATGCCAAATGACAAGACTCTATATTGTTGGCCATCTTACATTTAAGTTTTCATCTTACTGATAATGAATAGCTCTTAATAACAGAACTGGGCAAGTCCATTTAAGAAAACACTTTAAGTTTTCATCTTGATATCCCTAAAATTGATAATGGACAGCTCCAAAAAACAGAACTGGGCAAGTCCATTTAAGAAAACACTTTAAGTTTTCATTGTGATATCCCCAAAATTGATAACAGACAGTTCCAAATATGGAAGCTGGGCAAGTTCATTTTAAGAAATTCAGCAGATTAAGTAAAAGGAAGTAGTAATCAGGATATACTTACGAGGTTGATTGGTTAGAGGTTGAAGAGGTACATCAGGGCTCTGTATTGTATGATTATTCCCTGAAAACATACAATACAATATTATACTTTATTATGCTTTAAGGCCAGTTGTCGTAATAAAATGTTTTCAAAGGTTCTCTCCACACCTGTAACGCAGGCAATATGACATATCTTGGACAGTTCTGTGAACAAAATTTACAAGGTTCAATAGCTATTAAGATTGTATTTTTGGCTCAGTTTGCCATCACATCAGTACCGTACGGGCAATATACATGTGTAGTGACTCTCCACCTTATCTGGCAGAGGAAGATCTCAGGCATTTTTTTTCAGGCATGCGCAATCACCAGGGTAGAACCACTGACTTTCCATACACTAAAAATGTCTGCATCTATCAATCTTAATTAATATTGACATGGCATGATGGGTAACAGGAGAACATACCAGTCATAGAACTACTTTCAAGACATTTTGTATTTTTCTCTGGTTATTAAGAAATAAGTTCTTCTTTTAGCATAATTATACAAGATAATGAAAACAGTTAAAGCTTAAAGCATTTATGGTGATAATAAGAAACAAGGGAAATAATGTAAAAGGGCTGACATTATTAATTGGTTTCTGGTTCCTGACCCTTCAAAACATTGAGTAGATAGGGGGCCCAGAAACAGATTATTTTATTCTACCCTCGGACAGAGTATGACACACAAATAAAATTCAAACTTACAATACTGTTGACCGTCATGTTTCTGTGTAAATGAAGCATTCCCTCCATCCCAGCTGGTAGAGGGCGCTGTTCAACAAAGTAAAGAGAGTATTTAACAACAGTGATTGCATAACAACTATTCATAATGTACGTTTCACAACATCAAAGAGAATAAATAATATGCAACTTTAAGTATAATAATATAATAATAATAAGTACCACACACTTAATATATCTTGCAATGGTTAAAAAATATAGCAGGATAAAAAATCTTTAACAAGCTGGTACTTAACAGGAAAGGTGATTTTGGCTAACCTCAGGTGTTACAAACTTCAAAGCAACACCAGAGGTCAAAACCCCTCATCTGCTGGGGCTGAGAGATGCATAGACTTCAGTAATTTGAACCCATTTAGTTGCCTCTTATGATCACATAGGTGGTGGCTGTTATCCAGTAAAGGCAACCTCTCAGTCACAAAGGGCTTTAACTATGATAACTCAAAACATTCTTTAAACGAGCACTGTTTGTAAAACAGTGCACTTGACTACACTCAGTGCATGACAGTAAGAAAAGGGGTATAACTCTGTAAAAAGTTAACTGAAGAGTTATGGGACCTGTGCTGATCATGTTAGATAATCATATAATGGTACAACCCATTTCCTTCATTAGTTTTGAAGATACTAACTTGATCAGATCAGAGACACAAAAGCTTAACCACAGTGGATGGTGACGCAGATGCCGGGGGTGAGTACAATAGCTCTCCCATTCTCTAAATAGTCGAGCTAACAAGGTAACAAAGTAAATGACATACTTCTGTTGGAATATGGTGTTATAGCCTGTGAGTTGGGTATCCCTGTAGAATAGGATTGTGGTGACATCGCATGGCCGGGCCCTATACCACTGCTACCTTCAATTATCAACAACAAAAAAAATCGTTATTTTCAGGCAATCAGAAAAGAAAGCAAACCAGACTAAAGACAGTGTTTTTTTTTTTTTTAATTTAGTGGTATCAGGCCACATAGTCAAAAATAAAGTGACATTAATAGTATGAAAATTAAACCCTTCTACCATATATATATTCATTGAACTTGTTCTTCTTTCATTCAAGACAAAAACAGGTTAACTATTCATCATTTAAAGAAACAAGAGGGCCATGATGGCCCTGAAATCGCTCACCGGTATATATAGGCCGCCGGGGCGGGGCCAATTTTAACCCAGGGGCTTTTATTTGAATAAACTTGGTAGACACCCATTTGAAGATGTTTCATGTAAAATATCTAAGCTCTAGCTCTAAGAAGATTTTTTAAGTTTTTACTATTACACATGTAGGGAAAAACAATGACCCCCCCTCTGGGCGGGGCCAATTTTGTCCCCAGGGCTTTTATTTGAACAAACTTGGTAGACAATCACTAGAAGATAATTCATGCTTGATATCTATTTTAAGTTTTTTCTTTCTGCTTGGAACAATTTTTAAAGTTGACTACCAAAGGAACATTCCTGTGAAATTGGATGAAATTGGCTTAGTGGTTTATGAGGAGATGTCGTTTAAAGTAAAAGTTTACCGACGGACACCGGACGGACGCCGGACGAAAAGCGATCACAAAAGCTCACCATGTTACTTTGTGACAGGTGAGCTAAAAAATGTCAAAGTAAGTACTGAATGAATAGTGCAGACCATGATTCACCAACACTGATATGCCAGCTGTTCTTGGTCTGCACTGGCTGGCTAAAGGTTAAAGGGACTCCACTGTGGTTTTTTGACATGAAGGGACTTAATTATTTTTTTTTCAAAACTAATGTTTCATTTGATGTAGATCCAGACCAGTAACTTCTGTGCAAAATTTCATATCATTTACTCACTTTTTTTTCCAGAATATTTACCGGTATTCCAATTGTGAAAGAAAAGTGTTTCAACGCTAGAGCTGTCATCGATATCGACAATATCGATGTATCGTTGATATTTTTTTGCCGATCAATAATCGATACACATTTTAAACAAGAGGGCCATGATGGCCCTGGGGTCGCTCACCTGTACATAGGCCCCCAGGGAGGGGCCAGTTTAAACCAAAGGGCTTTTATTTGAACAAACTTGGAAGACACCCATTAGAAGATGTTTCATGATGTTAAGCTTTTACTATACACAAATAATGAAAAACAATGACTTTTGCCCCCCTCCCCCTGGCAGGGCCAATTTTAACCCCAGGGCTTTTATTTTAACAAACTTGGTAGACACCCATTAGAACATGTTTCATGCTAAATATCTTAGCTCTAGCTCTTTGGGTTCTTTAAAAGAAGATTTGAAGTTTTTAATTACTATATGCAATATAGGGAAAATCAATGACCCCCTAGGGCGGGGCCAATTTTGACCCCAGGGCTTTTATTTGAACAAATTTGGTAGACAACCATTAGAAGATGTGTCATGCTAAATATCTTAGCTCTAGCTCTTTGGGTTCTTTAAAAGAAGACTTTTAAGTTTTTACTACATGTATATAGGGAAAATCAATGACCCCTGGGGCTGGGCCAATTTTGACCCCAGGGCTTTTATTTGAACAGACTTGGTAGACACTCATTAGAAGATGTTTCATGCTAAATATCTTAGCTCTAGCTCTTTGGCTTCTTTAAAAGAAACTTTTTTAAGTTTTTACTATATGCATATAGGGAAAATCAATGACCCCCTGGGGCGGAGCCAATTTTGACCCCAGGGCTATCATTTGAACAAACTTGGTAGACATCCATTAGAACATGTTTCATGCCAAATATCTAAGCTCTAGCTCTTTGGGTTTTTTAGAAGAAGATTTTTTAAAGTTTTTACTATAATTATGCATATAGGGAAAATCAATGACCCCCTGGGGCGGGGCCAATTTTGACCCCAGGGCTTTTATTTGAACAATCTTGGTAGACACTCATTAGAAGATGTTTCATGCTTAAAGTTACATTAAATATATTTCATAAAAAAGAAAAAGCGACATTTCATTAATAAATTGGGTTTCATATCAACTCCAGATCTTATTTTGGTGTCCAGACAACCAACATGAGTTTAATGAGCATACAAATGTGCAACCTCATTGTGGCGAATTCGGAAGTACAATTTCTGTTTGTATGAGAAACTCCGCCTTCGGATCATCCGTACAGCAATGTTAAATCAACAAACATGACTATAAGTAGCAGTCCTAATTTAACGGTATATTACCGCATTGTAACGGATATTTTTATACAAATTTAATCTTTTTCATGAGATGATTATTTTTTCTGAACCCCAGGCCAGTGCACCGTGAAGCTTAAACGGTAAATGTGTGTTTGCGCAAGAAAATCTTACATTTGCTGTGTTTCGGATAGCTACTATAACACCGTGACATGGTGCATACACGAGCTGATTATAGTCCTCATTTGCATGTTAAAATTCGTATACTAACTTCAGTGTTACCGTGGGGTTTTCCAATTAAAATCCTAATTTATGAACAATATTTGATGAGATTTACAACGATACTGTTAAAAAGGTTAATGAAACTGTGGAAATTAATGCTTGGTTTTTAGGCCGACGGCAAAATATTTTTACATATTTATTTAATGTAGCTTTAATATCTAAGCTCTAGCTCTTTGGGTTCTTTAAAAGAAGATTTTTTTAAGTTTTTACTATATGCATATAGGGAAAATCAATGACACCCTGGGACGGGGCCAATTTTGACCCCAGGGCTTTCATTTGAACAATCTTGGTAGACACTCACTAGAAGATGTTTCATGCCAAATATCTAAGCTCTAGCTCTTTGGGTTTTTTAGAAGAAGATGTTTAAAGTTTTTTCTTTTGGTTGCCATGGCAACCAGAGTTCTGCATGGAATGGAATTCTTTGAACAACTTTGTTAAGGCTTCACACAAGGAACATCCCTGTGAAGTTTCATTATGATCTGCCTTATGGTTTCAGAGGAGATGTCGTTTGAAAAGTGTGAACGGACAACGGACGACGTACGACGGACGAAGAGTGATCCTAATAGCTCACCCTGAGCATATACTCAGGTGAGCTAAAAATCGATACTTTTGTCTAATAAATTAAATGTCTAGAAATTATAAAATTCACCCAAAATATATACAGAAGCAGTAATTTATATCTAATGTTATGCTTTTGTTATATAGTGGAATTATTTCATAGCAATGGTGACAAAAAATATTGTCTGGAAAAAATCATGCAGTGGACTAGACACTGTACAGAACATGTTTTTGACTGAAATCATTGAAACAGGTATGAAAGTGAATGACAGACAAGTGAGTATAGGATATTATCGATATATCGGTGTATCCTTGATTTTAGTCACTTGATATCGATATATCGTTGATATGCTTTGCACTGAATCAATGACAGCTCTATTCAACGCTTTTCACTCAAATCATACGTAGAGCACAGCACAAACATACAATTTTCAACTTATTTCATAGAATATTTCTTTAATTACATTTTGAAAATCTTTCTGTTTTATGTCTCCAAGCTGGTCTATGTAAGAAATTCTAATTTAATGTTTTAAGGCTTTTGGATCTCAGTGGAGTTCCTTTAAAGAAGTTTAAAACTAAATGCTGCTTCCAATCACCTTCTTATTAAACTATTTATTAATTTTATTTTATTTCATTCCGTTTAAAACAAACAAAGTGACCATGTCCCATTACTCTCCTAGCTATGATACAATGGACTTGCCCGACCTTTTAATTAATCTGAAACAGAGATTTCAGTATACTTAAATATTGTTAAATATCATTCTGAGTCTGGTCATGCAGAAATACCTAACTCTGTACTCATTTTAAAGTGACATTATGATAATGCTCATTTTTTTCACCATCAAGTTTAACTCAACAAGCTGTACAACACAAAATACAATGTTTTGGCTATTGTAATAGTGATTGACAATTAACTGATAATAATGAGCAAAGTTTATCATAAAATATAAAACCTGCCTAAAATATGAAAATGTAATGCCCCATCTTTATAAATTGAACTTCACTGATAAATGGTATAACAGAAATTTCTTTCTTCTTCATCTTTTTTTTTGTGAGTTTTACTTGACACCAACACAATATAGGTCAAATGGCAACTGTCTAGCTTTATTGGCAGAGGAAAATATTCCATGCATTATTATTTCAGTCAAGAACTCTCACCAGAGTAGAACCAATGATGTTTCTTAAGTTCGATCTATAGCATCCTCACATGTAAGAATCCAAAGTCCCTGTCGGGATTGGAACTTACAACAGTGAGGCCAGGAAAAAGTGGTTTGAAGTCAACAACTGTTCATCACTCAGCCATGGCAACCTAATTTCTGTTTAGTCATATGTGCTAAGTGTATTGTAAACAATCATGGCCAAAAACAGGTATTTCAGCTTTTACCAGTACAATTCAAACTTTCATATAACTAAATAGCAGACAGCAGAAAAAATGCATTGTACAAAGTTAGGAGAGTATTTATGCAAGAAACAAAGTATTGTTACACCTACCAAACATGATGAAAACATTCATATAAACTAGAAATGTGTCCATAGGACACGGGTGCCCCCACCGCCCCACTGTTCTGTCAATCTTTTTACTAAGTCAAGGGAAATAACTCTACAAATACTGGATAAATCCACAAGCGAAACCCCAGGTGCAAATCTAAAATATGCTGAGCAACCTGCCCATAAGGTTTAATGACTATGTCAAATCCTTTTTGAGAAACTTGCGACACAAGTTGAAAATTGCAAAAATTTTCTAAGTGAAGGGCAATAACTCTAAAAATACTAAATAAATCCAGACGAAAATACCTGGTGCACAACTGCACATGCTGATCAACATTCCTGTAAAGTTACATGACTCTAGGTCAAATACTTTTTGAGTTACGTGCGACACATGTTGAAAATTGCCAAATTTTACTAAGTCAAGGGCAATAACTCTGAAAATACTAATGATATGCACACGAAAATACCCAGGTGCACAACTACACATGCTGATTAACATTCCTGTAAAGTTTCAGGACTCTAGGTCAAATACTTTTTGAGTTACATGCGACACAAGTTGAAAATTGCAAAATTTTACTAAGTCAAGGGCAATAACTCTGAAAATACTAAAAATATCCAGACGAAAATACCCAGGTGCACAACTACACATGCTGATCAACATTCCTGTAAAGTTTCATGACTGTAGGTCAAATACTTTTTGAGTTACATGCGACACAAGTTGAAAATTGCAAAATTTTACTAAGTCAAGGGCAATAACTCTGAAAATACTAAAAATATCCAGACCAAAATACCCAGGTGCACAACTACACATGCTGATCAACATTCCTGTAAAGTTTCATGACTCTAGGTCAAATACTTTTTGAGTTACGTGCGACACAAAAGTGAACGGACGGACGGACGGAAGGACGGACGGACGGACAAGGGTAAATCTAAATGCCCGCCACTAACGTGGGGGCACAAAAATAACACCTTTAAAAAAAAACATCTGTTATAAAAATTAGAATTAAAATTTAAATACACATTAGGCCTAATAACTTAACTTAAAATAAGCAGTTTTCATGTCAGAATTTCAAAATAACATTTTTTTTATTAAATTTCAACTTTAAAATTATTTTAGATGCTTCTTTCAATGTTGGCAACAATCCAAAAATAGTTATTAGGATTCCTGAATGATAACAGTTCTAACTATAGTCATACTAGGAAAGAATATACTAGCATAATAAGTAGATAATTTTATATATTTCTACTCTCTCTCCCTGTCTCTCTTTGTCTCTATACAACTAACTTTTATTAAAAGGGGACACAACTCTAATGAATGTCAGAAGAAAGAAAGACAACTCTTACATTCATATTCCTTCTAAAATGCTATACTTTAGTAAACAGTTTAAAGTGGCCTTCAGCTTTTAATTTTTGTTGAAAAAACAATTCTGTATTGTTTCAAAGTAAGTATCTCAGTAATTTTGTCTTGGAAAAAGGCATCATACTTCTCCAAAACAGAGTCCTGAGAGCGATTTATAGAGTGCCAGTGGCATTCGTTTCTAAAAATAGAAGATCAGTAAATGAATATTCTGCTTTACTAATTTACATATAGAAGATTGACTGATATATATAGAGGTATCGTGGGTTTTCCTTATTTTGTTAATGTACTTTATTGAGACCAAATTTCATTTTCCAATTTAGCTATTTTCATTTGACAATTTTATGATACAATCTAAAAAAACTGAAGGCCACTTTAAAGTTAGCAATCTACAAAGTTTAAATTTCATATAACTATACTGTACAATTAATTATGTCTAGTTTATTTCAAGATAGATATTAACTTGAAGTAAATAAAGCTAAAAATGTTAGCAAAGGAAGAGAACTCCTATAATATGTTAATAAAGTATATCAAACTAAGGAAGATAACTCTCTCAAGCAATGTATCACTGCAGTCTAGCAAGGGAGGTAAGTATGCAATCTTTCAAGACATGAGAGCTCATTTAAACTGGGTCAAAACTTATATACATATTGTCTAACCTTGAACTCAGATTTCACCTATCTGATTGGTCAATAACCTGCAGAGATTGTTTATATTGACCAATGAAAAACCTGGAGATTTGAGACAGATCTCAGAAAATAGTTGAACAACCTTGAGCTTCGGTCACCTGTAGTAATGTACAGGTCAAGCAGAAGCCCATAAAACTTAAAATAACCAACTATGCTGAAGGCCCAATTTCAACACCTCAAAACTTTGTTCTTGTCCAGTAAGATAGGTTTATACCTGAAACAAGTTGGATAATGAGGGTGGTTAAATAGAATTCCTAAAATATTTTAAGCAATATTTAAGCAATACAGCATTGTCTTTAATACATACCAAGACAATTGTGTATACAATATCTTGAATTTTGTCCACAGGTAAAAAGTAAAATAGCCACTTCAAATGGTGCAAAATAGTCGCTTCAAAATGAAGCAAAATAGTTTTCTGCTCAAGATTAAAAAATAAGCATACTTTTTAAAGGAAACAATTAAATGAGCTCTCTGTAAAGTTTGAGTATTCAGGGCTTTTTTCCCTATATGGGGCCTAGACCTTTTTGATATGTGAAAGACAAAGCACCATTTTCTTTGAAATCATGAATAGCATTATTTTCCTAAAAGATGTCAAGGAAGCATCACAATTTTGACACAACTTGTGAAGTTTTTTTTAACAACCTGTAGCTTTCTTTATTTCATAAAAACAAACATGAACTGTAGATATTCAAACATGAAATGTTTAAATACCTCTGATTTCATCAAGTTGTACATTATCTTGGAAAATTTATGGTATTTGAAGGCGACACTGCTTAAAATACTAAAATTTTGTTGTAATTCTGTTTAGTGGCCACAATCAAAGAAATACTGGATTGTGAAAGTGGCATTTCTTTCAGTTAAGAAGCTTGTATTTTGAAATTGTAAAATGGCCTTTATATGACCCCTATTATATAGTGAAAGAAGCCCAGGTATTATGTTAGTAAGAATCAAGCACTCGTTTCTAGTTAATTTTCAAGCACTCTTCTATATTTAGAATTGTTCAAGCACTGTTCAAGCACTTCACTCACTGATACGACTCCCGCTGGCTGAGATTGAGGTCATCGGGTTGGAAATAACCCCCGACACTCTTGGGTCTGTGATCTGCCCCGCGGGCCCGACACTAGCTGACGATGACGGCCCTAATTTAAAACATGTTACATAGCTCATTTAAAACTAAAAAGCTGAAAAAATTGATATGGGAATTCTTCAAATTAAGAAAAAAATATTGCCTTTCAAATACTTAAGAAAACAAAATAATTCAACACTAAAACTGCAATTTCTGAGACAAACTTAAAACAGGACAAAAACAGACAAACTTAACTAGTTAACTTTTCTCATACATTTATCAAAAAAAAAAAGATTTGGCAAGAAATATCCACCAAAGAAATAATAATACTAAATGTCCAAGAGTCACACAGAAATTACATCTGCCCAAGGATCAAACCATCAATCCCGGGATTTCTAATCCAATGCTCTCCCTGTGGATCTAGACATGTGGACCTTTGATTCAATCATTCATATTCTATTCACTTTAAAAGAGCAACAACAAAAAATGAATATTAACAAATTAATGAAATGCTAGGTTAAAATATTAAAGATATATAACAGGATTCATACCCATGCCAGACATCCTACTGAAGCCGTCCACTGGGGGATGTTGAACGGTCTGTGAGAGGTCACTTGATGTACCGCTGTCAAGTCCAGAAGCTGACCCGATCTCATTACCATATTCATCCTTGACCAGTCTTGATGGTGGCGCTTAAATTATACAAGAAATGTTACTATGAAGGTGGCACTAAAATCAATTAAGAAATTGTATAATGAAGGTTGTGCTTTAATCATACAAGAAATTGTATAATGAAGGTTGCACTTTAATCATATAAGAAATTGTATTTAATGAAGGGGGTGCTTTAATCATACAAGAAATTGTATAATGAAGGCAGCACTAAAATCAATCAAGAAATTGTATTATGAAGGTCGCACTTTAATCATACAAGAAATTGTATTATGAAGGTCGCACTTTAATCATACAAGAAATTGTATTTAATGAAGGTGACTCTATAATCATACAAGAAAATGTATTATGAAGGTTCCACTAAAATCATACAAGAAAAGGTGTGAGGTATCTCACCTTGTATGATTTTTAAACATTCTTATACCTAATGGACTACAGTATACTGTATGATTATAATGAATCAATTAAACAATTAATGTGAAGAAAACTCAGACGAATCAACATTAAAATTTTATTTGTAGTTTGTGTTTAATAAAGAACTGTACAAATGTTACTTTTACAAATTTCAGTGATTTTTTTTCCAATTTTCAAAACAACCTGTGGCTTTCTGAAGGGGAAAATATAGCGCGATAAATCAGAAATGGGGAAAATCAAATTCCAACAAGTGAGAATGGAATTTACCCACACATTTAATAAAATTTTCAATTTCAATTCAATTTAACATGCATGGTACAAATCAGAGGCTATAGGGACAGCTTTCTGTCTTCTAGCTGATATAATAAGTCAGATGCTGTTGAGTCATGTTTCTGGTGAAAAAGTGCACAGGGCATTTCAGGGGAAAAATTGGCTTTTTTAGGGGAAAATATACCTATTTTGAGCTAGGGGAAACAGCCTTTATTCGGCTGTAAAATACAGGAAAAAAAATCACTGAATTTCATTGTAGTTTGACACATTACTCCCATGCCCATGTGAAATATCTTTTAATTCTCATGGCCTTATAAAATATTTTGTTGATATCTGTGCCCGCTGATCATTTTTAAATAATAAGAGAAAGTTAAAATTCTTTGGCCATTTGTATCATACTCACCAGCATGTTGGATGGTCAATCCCGACAGATCTATTCCAGGGGAGACAACTCTCTCATAATGATAGGGATTCACACAAACACTGTCTTGTTTCAGATCAAATGCGTATTGGCAGTATTTAACATGCTTTAGTTCATTTTTATGAAGATCGGGCCACCGCCAAATTCTGGCATATATAACATGTGGAAATCCTTTCCTGCCTGCTACCTGTAACATGTTAACATTAAGAAATATTATTTTGACTAATTTTGCAATTGGGAAATTTATTGCAACACTTATCATTTAAAATTTGAGAAATATAAACAAACTATATCTTGAGTGAACTATTGAATGGCGGCATGACCGAGTGGTTAACATATCAGATTAGTATTCCAAGGATTGCTGCCTGCGTGGGTTCAAATCCTGTCAGGGGCAAGCCATTGTTTCCTTGAGCAAGAAACTTAAGTTACACACATTGCTAAGTTGGTTCCAGGAACAGCTTTAAGTGTTTCAATAAGCATATAGCTTCCAACACATTCCAACTAAAGAAAATTAGTATAAAATAACTCTATGAATTTGGAGTATAAACCTAACTATAGATATGAATTTGAAATAAAACATTTTCTTTTTCAGCCTCACAGACACTGAAATAAAATCAAGCTTGCTGAGAAAAATCTCGAAGAATCTAATTTGAAATTTTCATCATTTCCTAAATTAGAAAAACAACAATTTTCAGCTAAGGGCTTCCATTTTTTTAACACAAAAACAATAACTGACAGAATATCTAAAAGATATTAACATATTTTTTTAAGACCCCAAGACTATCAATTTGTTAAAAAAGACCACAAAAGTCATAAGCTATTATTACAATTATAAACTAAATCATTCACATTGTAATGATCTGAAATTAATATAAACAGATAATAAGTGACTACATATTACATAAATTTGAAATATTTGACTCCTGTAACTGTTGTGATAATTGTAACAAACTAATTTACTTTACAAATTACATAACACACTACCTGCAACCGTCCATCTAAAGTCCGCTGGATAGTTACACATTTTGAAGGATGCGCACCACTGGTTGTTATGGCTGTTATCAAGCTATCTAGCTCATCTCGTTTCTCCTTTAACTTCTTAACAAGCGATTCTATTGCACGTTTGGCGAACGATTCACTCTCTCCACCTTGGCGATGGCACATCAAACTGTGAACGATGCTCAAACAGGCGTCAGCGCTGGTTGGTGCGGAATGCGACATTTTTTATTGTCAGATTGTTATGTGAGATGAATACACTAATATTAAAATGTTTCAGCCTCATATAACTATAAACCGAAATCTCACTGGCATTGTTTGCTTGTTTCCCATGTGTCACATCATTCTGGTTTAGTTTGTAATACAAAATAGTATGATTTGCCTCTTTTGTATCATATCATAAGCACTTTACATCCTCCAGTTTCACTCCTACATCCTGCAGAAAGCAATAACAAAATTGACTATGTCAGTATGTGTTTGTACATTAAATAAAAGCTATGTATTTGGCAAAAATAATTACCAATACTCACGCAGCCCTGTTATCTTGGACACAAAAGAAGCGACAAAAAATAACTTCAATATCAAAATGTGAAAAGGAATAGATAATTTGGTTAGACATAATTTATTATAAGTAACATCACATTTTGTTATGTAAATACTCTAATCACTTTGCCATAGTAAAACAAGATGGCTGAAATCTAACAACACTAAGGACCAAAAATCTTGCTCAACGGATTGTGGGTAGGTTAGGAATTTTTCTCTCTATTTTTAAGAGTCTACAAATGGGTTATAGTGATAGTCATGCGGAAGTGAGTATATGAACAAATGTGAAGACCATAGCATATCAAAATCAGGGCTTTTTTTCACAGGTTGGGGAAGCAGCCCAGCCCTTAATTTTGGGGAAAAATTACATGGTATATTTACAAAAGGGGAAGGAAAAACTTGATGTAAATTCTATTTGTGGGGAAAACTGCATGATTTTAAAGAAATTTTATTTGGGGAAGCAGCCCTATACCGGCCCCTGTTATAGAAGGTAAAAAGACGATGGAAGGATCTACATCTTTTAAGCGGCTTGACATAAATGTTACATAGATAGAATCTGAACTGTTTGATTTCCAAATGTCACATACATATATGCCGTTGACCCGTATTTTCGGGGGTTTAATGTTTTAAATTAAAGCCACCGTTTTTAAATTAATAGTAAATGGAAGACAAAAAACATCAACAGTGAGTAAAAACTATGACAAACAAAAAAGGAACCGTTTAAAATACGAAAATAAACTATTTCAGTAAGAAATACTAATCTTTCTACTTTCACTATCAGTAGTCTGTGTCGCTCGGAAGCTGTCTCATATTTTCGGGGATTTTGATTGGATGGCCTCGTTTCGGTAATTACGTTGCGCGCGCACAAATTCTATACTGCACTCAATATATTTCGGGACATTGGTTTAAGTTAGGTATAAGTTCCGGTGATGAAATTTAAGGCGAAGATACGTGTTTTGTTCTTTTTTGTTGCTGTGTAGTTGAAAT